TGCTTGCTTCAGCTATGGCGATTATTTCCAGTGTTGGAGGTTTGGTCAATGGAGATGCAGTGGTGGCTGTCATAGTTGCTTCCAGTGATGGCAGATCCGTTGATGACAATTTAGGGGTAGCTGTTGTGATTGCTCGCACTGGAGGTAGTGAGGCTGTTATGGCTGCTTCTGATGATAGCAGTTTAAATATTTGTTTTGCAGCTGGAAGTATTACAGGCACTTGGAGAGTTGCCGAGGGCGTTTGAACTGTAGCTGGTCCCAATAATGTTACGGGTTGCTGCTGTCCAGCTGCTGAAGGTAATTTATCTTCTGGCTGGAGAGAATTCTCTAAGGCTCCCACTTGCTTCAGCCACTGTATATGGGGTAAAAGCTGAGAAGCCAGAATAGGGATTGTGCAGTTGTGTAAGCTCTGGCTTACGAGGCCCATCACCTCCCATTCCCAAGTAAATGGATCATGACAGATCACAGGACTGCCTACTGGCACCTGAAAAGAGGAGACGGCATGAGAATCAAACCATCAAGATGACCATGGAGTCAAATCCTAAAATTTGGATACTACAAATATAAAATATTAGAATATCCCTGCTGGTGGAATATTTGAGAAATTCTGCATATCTGAGATGTGGATGCCCCAAACTTGGCTAGGCTTTCCTAAGAGTAATATCCCTCCAGGCATTTGGGCTGGCAGGTTAAGCAAGCACCTCCCTATTGATTGGTTTTCATTGGGGTTTTTTTTTCTACTGAAAGTTGAAATTGGGGTTTTTCTTAATGTGTGACAGAGACTTTGGACATTTATTACTTGGATTACTGATGTAACTATTGTTAGTTTTAATTCCTGTACACCATCCAGACTTGTTGGCAATGAATTGAGTGGCCAAATTAGTTATTTAAATAAGTTAAATAAGGAATTCTGCCAATGAACGCCGTAATGGCTCTGTATTCTGCAACATTGCATAACTTTTGCTATATTCTGTATGTTTCTCCTGATGTCAGATAGAGGATTATTTGCTTGTCAAATCCCAACTGCTTCTGTAAGCGTAGATAATAGATGCAGTGATTCAGAATGACTCTGGACCTAGAAAAGTGAAACTAGTGCTGGAAGTATATGAAGATGGCCTCCCTTACCCTCTGAAATAATAGTGATGAGTTTCCTTATGCCATAAAACATGGGTGTCAAACTCAGTTTCACTGAGGGCCGCATCAAATTTGTGTTTAACCTCAGGGGGATGTGGGGGCATGGCCAGGGTGGGCGTGGCCAGCTTGACATTACTTGTCGAGGCTCTGTTTTCAGCCGCGATGGCCTCTGCCAGCGAAAACAGAGCCTGGGAGGGCTGTGCGCAGCTCTCCCAAGTTCCCTTTTCACTGGCAGAGGCATCGTGCAGCAGTCCTTTGCTGTTTCCAGGGCAGCCCTGTGGGCCAGATCTAAGCACCCCACGGGCCAGTTGGCTGGCCTTGAGTTTGACAACCCTGGACTAGAAGATAGAACAATGGAAAATCCAAAAAGGAGTAAAATGTGCTGGAAATCAAAGAGGAAACATTCCCCTCCCCCCCTCCCCCCCGTTTACAGTCCAAAGGAATCGGGTGGGATTCAAATTTTTTAACAACCAGTTATGTGGCCGTGGCTTAGATGGTGGGCGTGGTTTGGTGGTCATGTTATTGGCTGGGCATGGCCAACTCAATATCACTCACATCGAGGCACGCATCTCCTCGCCTGGCCTCTCATGACTGTGGGGATGCTGCAACAGTCGTAAGTGTGAAAAATGGTCATAGGGCACTTTTTTCAATGCCATTGTAACTTTGAATGGTCACTCCACACAAGCAAAGTACCAGCAAAGGAGGGGGAAAAAAACTCCAGAGAGGTTCCAGAGACAGAAAGTCTAGTCCTGCCAAGTAATAAGGGTTAACGGAGAGGCAGTTTCTGTAAGCAACACCAGAATGTTTCCTTCCTGCCTTCCTTACAGGATTAGGCCAGTAATTTCTTCTAACAACCGCTTCTCCGAACTGCTTAGAATGTTAACAACCGGTTCTAGCGAATAGGTGCGAACTGGTAGAATCCCACCCCTGAAAGGAATCCATTTGTTTGGGTTACCTTGCAAGTTGTGAGTTTGGGAGAATCTTTTTCTGCCACGCATAAGTTCCTGCCTTCTATAGTGTTCGGCCAATGCTTGGAACAGTCAGCTATGCTCAAGGCCTCCACCATTGTCTCCTTTAGGAACCATCTCGTTGATCCTGTGGAGAAGGAGAGAAGGTTCTCAACTAGTCTAACTCATAGCATGAGGCTCATTCAGCACGAGGCTTCCTTCGTCTCAGTCTATATATGCAGGAATGTGGATTTAGAATAGGCGAACAAGTTTTGAAATCTCGTATTCTTGAATGCTGAAAGAACTGCTTGTGCTCTCCTCCAGCTTCTCAGTATATATTTTAAAATATTCCCATAGCCACAAGGGTGGTAAAAATGAATTATCTCAGTGTGCTATACTCTGGCTGTAATACCAGCTTCTCTGCTTTTATAGTATTTCTCACAGATGTGCCAGACTATATCCATTTTATAGTCTGCTAGGCTATGCTAAGAAAACCCAACATTACCTTTATGCTGATACCTTTGACCCATAGCCCTAGATCAGTTTGCTAAATAAATAGTCTCCTGGGTCCTAAAGCATGGTAGAGCATGTCTAAACTCACCCTCTTGGCCTCGTTCGAAAATCCTGCATTCCTCCTGGGTGTTATATGGTTTTTCTTCCTGAGGAATACAAGCTGGCCACATGTCTTTTGCTGTTAAATCAACCGGCTGGGCAAGCAAGATGAGACCCAGGTCATTATTGGGTGCTGTATTCCAGGAACTGAAGCCCCGATGGAGCAGAAACCGACTCACTGCCTTGGTGGAGACATGCCCAGGAGACCCGATCAGTTCTACTTGGCTCGGATTCCTGCAAGGCAAAGATTTTTGTTGTTAATTGTGAAGTTGTGTCTGATCCATCGCAACCAGTGGTGGTATTTCATTTTTTTTCCCTACTGGTTCTGTGGGCTTGGCTTGGTGGGCATGGCAGGGGAAGGCTACTGTACCCATTCCCTCTTCACCCCACTAACCTGATTTCCAGCTCCGTTCTCCTGTGCAGGGCAACAAAAGAAGACCCAGCTGCTCAGCTGGGACTCAGGAGGCAGAGAATAGATGGGGCAGGGCCAACCAGAGGTGGTATTTACCTGCTCTCTGAACTACTCAAAATGTCTGCTCCCAGTTCTCCAGAACCTGTCAGAACTGGCTGAATACCACCTTTGATTGTGACCCCATGGACAACATTCCTCCCAGCCTTCCTGGCCTCTACCATCTTTTGGAGTCCATTTTAGCTCATGCCTATTGCTTCAGTGACTCCCTCCAGTCACCTCATTCTCTGTCGTCCCCTTCTTCTGTTGCCCTCAATCGTTCCCAGCATTAGGCTCTTCTCCGGTGAGTCCTTCCTTCTCATTAGGTGGCCAGAGTATTTGGGTTTCATCTTCAGGATCATAATGGCATGTTTTAATCCAACCCAGGGATTTGGTTCTGTAATCCCCAACCGCAGGACCTTCTGATTAGATTGGAAGATGTTAAGTATTATCTTCTTCAGCAGAGTCACCCATTCTAAGGACAGAGTTGGAGAAAAAAAAATGGCTTCCAACTCTGTCAATACTCACATCAACAAGAAGCAGTTGGCTGCTGTCAGGACCCACAAGCTGCTCAGGATAACTCCTTGGCATCTCTGGCCATTTCCATAGATGTTCACGAGCCATGGGGCTTCTGTGGCTCCATTGTATTCAGAGTTCATGTTAGCTTTATCCAACTTGGGATCTGGGTACTGAAGGCCACAAACTGCCAACGAAATTCATACAAGTATACAGACCCAACACATTATTCCCTTTGGGGTACGCAACTTTACTCAAAAGAGCGGAAATGTAAGTAGTACAGAGGGAATGAGAGACAACCAATAAGGTGGAAAAAAGGCATCAGAGATAGGATTTCCATTTGCCTATCATGGCTTTGGTCAATTAAGGCTTTCATGCTTCAGATTTTTTTAGTAAGACATAGAAGAGATAACTAGGTTACCAGCATTTTTCTACCTATGGTGTACATAAGGTTCCCTTCTAATAGGAAAAACAATATTGGTTAGTTTGGGGACATTGTGGCCAGTATGCCACAAATGCAACCAATGCCTAGTTTGATCTCAGCCTGTTCACCTTGATCTATGCCAGATGAAACTTTTAACCCAGAAGCTGCCTTACCCAAATCCAATCAGCTGGGAGATGCATACTGTAACACTCATAATATACTGAACTACACAAAGCAATAAACTCCCATCTTAGACTTCCATGCTACAGGGTAATAGATGCTCCAGGTCTTGTCAATGTGCTGGTTATTCAGTTGACAAGAAGTGAACTGGGTAACAGCCCTTCAATCATTCTTCAAATCTCCAAACCATCTCATATAAAGCAATGCTGTCTTTAAATGTGCGAGCCACTCAGAGTCATATATGTGAGATGGGTGGTTATATAAAATGAATAAATAAATGCTACACTTCCTCTTTCAATAATGTGCAGGTAAGTCACAGTAAGGCGCTGGTAATGCTTCCATACCGCCTGCTACCGCTGGTACCATTTGGTTTTAAAATTCTGCTTTTAATGGAATATTGATTTCTAAGCAAGGGTTTATTGCCATCAACTTAGTGCCCATACTTGCATCTTCCTTTTCAAATATACCAGTTCATCCCAACATGTTCTGAGTTTTTTTTTCCACAAAACCTTCCTCTCTTTTTAGTCTTGGGAAACAAGACTCAAGAATATTGTTGCTTACAGTTGGAGAAGGAGGACAGAAACAGTGGGAAGAAGGTACAGAGCCCGAGGAGATGGTCCATCCTTTCTTTCTTTGACAGAAGAAGGTGTGGGAAAAGCTGAGCACTCCAGGATGGAACCTTTGAGCTCACAAATGATTAATTTGTGACCTCAGCTATGTGGAGCTCCAACATCATTTTGTCCTTCTGCCAGTGCCAGTCCTCTGGTAATCTCTAGTCCTAAACTGCATTTCCTTATCTACATTTTTATTTCAAGGGTGTTCCTATTACTAGCATATAATTCATTCTTCTGCCTACACCTGGGGTGTCAAACTTGTGGGCTGTATCAAGATTTTGTTTGCCTTTGGCGGGCTGAGTGGGCATGGCCTGGTCTTGTGGCTGACTGGGTGGGTGGGCTAGGCGACGTGGGCCGGTCCCTCGCTGTCTCCAGGACAGTCCAGTAGGAATCTCTAGGCCTATTGTGGGCTGGATCCAGCCCATGGGCCGCATGTTTGACCTGTCCTGGTCTACACCATCCCATTACCATATATATCTATGTCTATATATTGTCTATATCTATGACTTTATATTTTATGGTGTTGTAAAATTAGGAGTTAATTATGTGATATATGGTTCTGCTGCGATGCCAAGCAAGGGACATTGCTAATTTAAAAGAAGAGTCATCTGGCTTGTTGTTAATACATGAAATAGAGTAGAATGAAATAAGCATGCTTTTGCTGGATTCACTGACAATCTTCTCCAGACTTTGGCCGGGTGTTTTCATTGGCTAGAAATACATGAGGGTATGTGGGTTTTTCCCAAGACACATAGTTAATTGTGACAGATTGTATTTTTCTAGTGTTATCAGCTAGGCCAAAGTTCTACTTATTTTCTCAGACCACATTTCTTCCAAGATACTAGCTGTTTCAGAGTCAGCTGAATTCTATAAAGCACGATACATTTTCCAAATGCATTAGTGAAATAATGTATATTGTAAGGTCAGCTTCCAAGTTCCCTATTTTACAGTCTCTTGGTACATTGTTTAGATACTTATTTGGAGGACTACAGTGTTGTTAACGGTCATCCAGGGTTGCCATCTTTTAGCCAGACTCAATGCCTGAACCAGCTACTTAATCTATTGAAGTGTAGGTATTTCAACCTTTTTGTAGCTGCAAAATGATAATCGTTGCTTTTCTGGCCATTTGGCAACTCTCTTGCATATATGTACATGCAATATATTGTATATCAATACACCTTTATACTGTAAAAAGGCAAATAAGAAATGTCATCAATGGAAAGTTATATCCTCATTTCCTTTCTGCTTTAAGTAGTTCATTGGTTATACTATATCTCCTAGGATACTTCTTGACATGAATTTTTTCCACTTTTGAAAAAATTGTGTTGTTCTGTTGGAAAAACAGTCCTGGGATAATCTTGAGTTATCAAATGCTTTGTTTGAATGTTCACACCAGTTCTTTACAATGTAAATGTGGAACAGTAAAGTTAGCTGTGCGGAGGAGTATTAACCATGGCCGAAATTCAAGTCAACTTCATTCAGGTCCTTCATTATGGACAGAAAAGACTATGTATAAATATAGTCTCACACTTTGCGGTTATTAGTTTGATTACTTATTAAAAACAGCAGCCCTCAAACACACACACAGACTCCTCCCCCCTTCTAAATAGCAATAGCACTTAGACTTGTATACTGCTTCACAGTGCTTTTACAGCCCTCTCTAAGCGATTTACAGAGTCAGCCTATTGCCCCCAACAATCTGGGCCCTCATTTTACCCACCTCAGAAGGATGGAAGGCCGAATCAACTTTGAGCCGCACAGAATTGAACTCCTGGAGTGAGCAATGAGTTAGCCCTGCAGTACTGCATTCTAACCACTGCACCACCATGGCTCTAAAAATCAGAATATTCATGGCATGTATATTTTCAGGCCTCCGCACTATTACAACCAAGGCCTATCCAAAGCTGCATATTCCATCTCCCAGTCTTAATGAGGCATAGCTGTCTATGGTTTAAAGATGTTTTCTAGAGCATCTCTGTACTGTCGCTATACTGTGTGGAACATAGGAATGGCGTGAGGCGAGTGAGGAAAGCCAGGCTTGCACATTAACTTGATGGCAGAATGGCAGAAAATTTCAAGGCCTGACTCCACTTAGAAAATGCAAGGAAATACAGGTGGTCCTCAAGTTATGACCACAATTGAATCCAAAATTCATATTGCTAAGTTGTTAAGTGAGTTTGCCGTTTTGTGACTTTTCTCGCCAGAGTTGTTAAGTGAATCATTGCATTGGTTAAGTTAGTAACATTTTGTTGTCAGCTTTTGATAGGAAATAAATAATAGACTTGAAGACTGGGCTGCTCAACAACACTGAGGTTTGTTATGTTCACATTTTGTGGCTGGTAATTGCTATTCATTTTAACAATGGCTAATTTATGTTTCCTCATAAGATATGGTTTCTTACTGTTGCTGATAAATGGCTAGAAGGGACATTTTCACTCCATCCTGCAGCCAACTGCCACTTTTCTGCTTAGAGCTGTATTTTTTAAAACATGAATTTTAAAAGGTGTTTCTGCCAGTTTCACTTTAGTCTAAGTAAGTGTTTGCAATACTTGGACTCCAACTTCCAGAATTCCCCAGTTATCAAGAAACATGAGAAACACTGGCCTAAGCAAATTGAACAGGATTTACCTAGATTTCTCACATTAATATCCCACCCTTCCTGGGAAGAGACCAGGGGTAGCATATGTAAGATATACCATTCCTCCCTTATTTAACCTTCAAGAAATTCGGGCCAAGGGCTGGACTGAAAAGCAGCGCTATTTCAGAGCTGTCTTATGAATTTGAGAGACTGAAGATCCATCAGTATCCTGTTCTGGAGGAAGAAAACTACCATCATATATAAATATTAAACCAGTCCTGAAAGGAAGACCAGTGCTAAATCTTAGGAAGGACTGAGGGGGAGAGAACAGGGATTAAAGAAACAGACCCTGCACTTGTGAGAAAATGCTAAGAAGAAAAAAATTGTGCTCCTTTAGAGTTGCATCCAAGGTCAGCTGGATTTATTTCCCTTTGCAGGTATGACATCATGCCTTCCTGGCTCCTTAAGGTCCCTCTCCCCATTTGTCCAGTTTTGTTCCCCACCTCCATTCTTAGGTAGGTTATGAAAAACGTAATAGTTAAAACTTAAAAACCCTGGTAGTGCATTATGAACTTCCAACTCACCTTAGCAGCTGTTAGATATCTAGGTTTATGGATAATTAGCTTAAAAAGAGTTTAAAGAAGTATTTTAGGCACTGTTAAGAGTAACTGGAACCAAGGTCAGGTATGAGAGCAGTATTAGAGAGCCAGTTTCATATAGTGGTTAGGGTAGGGGCCTAGAAACCGGGAGACTGAGAGTTCTAGTCCTGCCTTAGGCATGAAAGTCAGCTGGTCTTTTCCATGCAGCCCAGCACATCTCATAGGTGGTGGTTGTGATGAAAATAGGAGGCTGGAGTATGTTTGGCACTTTGAGTTAAAAAGGCAAAATAAAAATCAAACAAATAAGATATTTGCATTTTTAGTGCTATTGTTAGGATTATGGATGCTCAATTGGGCCAAACATGATGTTAGCATAAACTTGGCATACCCCAAATATGGAAATGGTATTTTGAACCTGTTCCTTGATACCGAATCCAGAGGAAACGGACATTTCCCAGAAGTCAGAAAAAGGCTGAGTCTTCTGGAACTATCTCATCTCAGCTGTAAACTGATCAAACGGCTTTAACCAACTCATGTATACCCAGAATTGTCTGTCGTTAACATACTGCCATAACTAAACACAGTAGTTTAGTAGTTGTTGGTAAGTTAAAAATGGTAAAGCTTTTCCTGTCAGTTGTCTCAGATTTTATGGCACAGTGATCATGTTTCTTGATCGAGAGCCAGTGTTGTCTTGAAGACAATTTCCATTGTCATGTGGCAAAGGTGCATAGAACGTTGCTACCGTCTC